GTCCGAGTTTGGAGACCCTGGCCACCCGTATAAACCATACGCCTCCGATCCCGGAGTCCCAGGCAGGAAGTGGTTAATATTTATGACCATTTTGGACTTTCTGTGAACGTTTTGATTTAATATCACAATTGTGTGTAACGGTTTTGCCCTTACCCAACGTATATTAATAAGCACTGTATGCTCAGTGCTTGTCCGAGAGCTTGCGAAATATATATATAATTAACATCTCCCCAATGCAAAAATACATCTTGAAAATCACAATTGTGCTTAGAGTTCCAGGGCCAAGTTTGTTTAACCACTTGCCGCCGGGGTTTCCGGTACTGGACACGTATTTTTTATACGCGTGGCTGGAGTCTCCGAAACCAAAGGGAACTGGGCCTTGTAACAAAAGACTGTACTAGTAACAATACACCAGGCTGCTGGGATTTACCAACATTTTTTCACTCTCAATAGTGGAGATAATCCAGCCTCGTTTTGAAATAGTATACCACGGTTTGGGGCATTTAGCGCGAGCGGATTAACCCGGGACAAAAGCGCTCCACCACCACAGCGATGAGCCACACAGTACTGCTGCACACTAATCTGGCCCCAATTGAAAAGAGGTCAGCAGCGCACTGTGCCAGTTTTGTGAACGAAAGAAAATTACGTAACACTGCACAATCTGGGCTCATTTTACAAGGCGGCAGGCCTGGCTGAAATACTTCAGTGTCAATAGATGTTGTCTGTCAGATTAGAGTAGAAACCAGATAGTCCTTTGTGTAGGTGTAGGTGTCCAGTAAATGAAGACAGGAATTTTTCAAGAATTTTGAAATCAGAAAAAAAAATGTATCCCATCCATATCCCCAGCAGAATCAACATTCATAAATGCCCCGGCCCGAAGTGGTTAAATTTGCCCTAATGTACAGGCCAATGAAATATAGACATACATGTACTTCTCAGTGGGCCAGATATTGCACCCGTGCCAGGATATTTGGTTTTGCAACAATCACAATGTTACCTGCTCAATAGTGGACAACTTTAAGATGTCATGCATTGTTGAAACAGATGCTAAAAAGGTGCAGAACTTGACAGAATATAAAAATTTGGTTTCATCTAGTTAGAGAGCCACATTTGTGTGGTAAAGAAAGTACCAAGGAGTGAAAGAAATGTTGACAAAGCACTCAGTTTTATTTGTCAAGCTGACAATATCTTACAAGTCAGTATGTACACTTTATCTTTTGATTTACAAAACTATATACAGATTAAAAAAAAAAAACAATGGTCTTCGCTCATGCAAAATGGAATAATTGTGGAATTGTTAGGATATTGCAGCGGCCATTTCAAGTTGCATCACAACAGGCACTTTAAGAAAGCTCATTTTAAAATTGTTAAAAGATATGCTCCCATTGCCAAGGCATTGCCAAAACATCAAAGGCAATTATTAACCCTAAACCCTCCTCAATCCTTCACCTGTTGGAGGACTGAGGAGCGTTAGGGTTAACATTAATTTCAACATGGCAAAGAAAATGACCTGGGAAGCTGAAAACTTAGTTGAAAATGTGACCAGCTATTCCAAAACGAAGCTGAAGTAAACTTCATGTCCTTTAAGTTATGAATTATTTATTAATATTATTAATATTAATAATATTAATTATTCATTATTATTAATTTCCACTGTTCATGTAAGTTGTCATTGTCCATAATTACCTAAGCTTTCTGCAGACACAGTTTAGACTTACGATCACATAGGCAGGAGAAAGGAATTGCCAAACATCATAATGACCTATTTCAGCCTGGTTTTGGAATAGTAAGTCGCAAATATCAAGCCCAAATCTGCTGTCGGAGGAGAGCTAGTACTATTTACTTCAAACTTAAACAGCAATCGGCTTGATCAAATTTGGAAATGGAAGTCAAGTTATGTTCTCATTCTTTGTTCTATAAGCACAGCACAAATCCACACGCCTAAACACTCATTTGTAACACCCATTTAATGCTCCAAAACTATTTTGAAAAATGCAAGGCAAGGATACTACTGATGGGAGTAAATTTTAGGAATTGTGAAAAAGGCGAACTGGTCTTGATCTTTACAAGTGAACCGCTGGAGATATTGCCCAAACAAAATAGACAGTAGCTAAAATTTTAGTCAGAATTTCTACAGTTATTTCTTTAAAAAATCAACAGCACAGAAATGCAACTTGAAGTGTTCAGTCAGTACAGTTTCAAGACCATGACCTCAATGAATGGTACATAATAACTTCTGACATTTGCTGCGCCTTGGAACACATGAAGCATCAAAAAGATATCCTGAAAGTATTAAAGAATTGAAGTTACTCTGGGGACAAAAAAAAAAGCACCATTACAAACTAGATGTGATGATGAAGTGATCGTTCAGTGATGATTGAAGTTTCTTGCCTTACTTGGTGTCTTCCTCCGGGTGCTTGTTGCCAGAGGCGTCTGAGGTGTGTACAGGCTAGAAACAACAGGAGATGAATGATTTGGAATGTAAAATATACATGCATTAACAGATACTGACACTTGTTTTACTGAGGGCATACTCGGAGTTCAGCATCGGTACATAGGGGAAAAAAACACAGGGCCTGTCTATAATTCAGCACTGGGGTTATGTAGAATTTTCCCAGTGTATTTATTTTGCCTTTGTCAATGGTCTTTTTTTGTGTCAAATATTAAATGCTATGCGTGCGTAATATGAATAAAGCAATGAGATGTTACCTTGTCTTCATTCCACTAGCGCCCTCTTGTGTCATCATACTGAAATCTGGCTCTTCTCTGGAAGTGAAACGTGATTCTTTTCTATTAGTAATCCTATCTTTAAACAATGAGAGACCTGCCATTTGGCAAACGTTTTTGAATTTCTTGAAATACATGTACATTTGCATCTTGCAGAGTTAAAAATTGACAAGCGTTTCCATTGAGACATACACTCATACCCTTTGTCAAATGTTTTTCAAATTCAATCGGCAAAACTCTTTCGTTATTAACGCAGGTACTGTAAGAGGGTCGTAGATTCACCTTGTATGAAACTCTCTCTTTTGGAAGAAGTGTGCTTCTGAAGAGAACCAGTGAGTAGGAACTAAATGTTTCAATTAGCAAACTCTGGTTGTTTTCAAGAGAGTGATGGCCAGAGATGACCACAGCATCTTCATCCAAATGTTGAGTTCTTACTCACCGGTTCTTTTCAGAACCACACTTCTTCCAAAAGAGATAATCTCCTCCATGGTGTTTCGACAAGCCTCATACAGTTCAGCCACTGCCATGCAAAGCTTTAAATCTAACTATCTTCAGCCCCTCGATTCCAATAGCAGGAGTTGTCATGTTTTGGCAGATTTGGTCTCATTTATTATGAAATTCTTGTTCTACTCTAATGGATTTAGGAACAGAGGCCGAGCTTATTAGTGTTGGAGTTTGTGAGGTGGTACTCATGGAGGCACAGTGCACAAACTGGCTAGAGATAAATGCTGTTGGACCTTCTTTGAGCTGGAGCTTACACAGAGTGGTTCAGTACAGTGACGGGCCAGTGCTGCTGGGTGTTGTTTAAATTGATTGGGGTCAGTATTCTGTTCAGTGCATGAGCCAAGGGGGTTAGGGTTAATGCAGGAACATTCCTAATTCAATGGCTTTCGTGAATAATCAAAGAACAACCCCGAGGATTTTCTGCGCAAGGGAAAGAAACCACTTGGCAATAGTTTACCTTGAAGAGCCTTACCTGAGAGGTACAAACTGCTCCTTGTAACTTCTGTCTGTCTCATACAGGGGTCGTGACCTTCCAAAGGATCGTTCAGGAATCCTAGATGAACCTTGTCCCATGAAGTCATCTCTTACTTGCTCCTGCTAGAAAAATGAACATGAGCATTACAAAGTTATTTTTCTGGACTCCCTTCCAAATGTACAAACTGGAAAGGCAAAATAAATTTATTTCTGTACTGGCTATCAAACCATTTTTAATATTTTCAAAATTTCCCCAAGTATAAAGTTTATGAGCTCTGGAAAATGAGAAAAAAAATGAACAACCCCTCAAATTGGTAGATGTTCATACAGAAAAGATGACAGTACACAAGGTATGCAGGAAGATATTTTTGTCTTGGAAAATGGTTCCAGACAGGAATGAACACCATTCTATAGGCCTTCTCATTCAATTGGAACATCAAATTCACCTTTAACGTTGAGCGTCACCTTGTGGAACAGAGCTTCTCTTAACCTTGACCCTGCTTTCACGTGAGATTATCCGGTTTCAATAACACAAGCTAACAAGGAAACAGCACGTCACACTGCCGGTGACATGCTAGAAACACAGACTTGGAAACCTGCCATGCTATCAAAATACCAGTCTCGGGGTGAATAATCCAAGTTTTGAGATGGGGGGGAGAGGAAGCAAACTCACTCCGTCATCGGGATACGCCCTGAGGCAGGCAGCATTCAGTTCCTCCTTCAGTGTTGCAGTGTGCTGCTTGTGGGATGTGATCTCCGTTTCCAAGGCAACCAGACGGGACAAGGATGTCTGTACAGTATCCACAAATGCTGCCACAAGACTCTGGGGAAATAAAAATGAATCATAACTCTGTCTTATCCTAGAATGAATAACAACGTCAAGAGCTATTAATGCAGTCAAAATGCAAGGCCACAACTTTTTTTCAATCAGTTCACCTTTAGAAATAATTCATGAATATCTTAGACAGTTTCCCTACTCAACAACATGAAACATGACCATTTGATAATGCCCGCTGAGATTTGATAATGCCTGTCTGTGTAGACAATGAACTGGCACCTGAATCCAAGAAAGTTTTATTCATATTGGTCAAAAGTCTATGTGTGCCATGGCAAACAGAACTTGCCATGCGCACACCAAGTCCATATCAGGAAATTCTTCTGGACTACTTGCACAAAGGAATATACCATAAACTGGACGGGGGTGTTCCGGAAAATGAAAGTAAAATTCTGGAACAAAATCCTAAGAAATTTATCACATGTTGACTTCTTTTGACTCTAACTAAAACGGGGTTTATGAATGGGAATGAATATGCGCTTGGTCGGTTTTAAACCGACTGCGGCTTGGGCATTAGCTGCTCCCATTCCATTTAAGGCCGGCCAAGCACATGTTTATTCCCTTATCTAACTCCTTTGCAGTTTTCGCTATTAAATTAAAGCCACTTGAAAAGAACTTGTACAATACCAACCTTAATAGCAATGACCTCAGCACTTATACCATCAAGTCCTCGTTTCTCTGGATGGATTAACACCTGACCAGAACAATCCAATGATGAAAATAATCTATACAAATACCACTAAAAATTCTGATCTCAGGATCTTCTAACCAACTGGCTTTCCTCTTTCTTTACTTAAAAACTCCAAACTTAAAAACACTGGCACTGGGGAAATACTTTTAATAGATATCATAACAGGAAAAACATGCAGAAATCAAAGCTCAACTACCCAAGAAATATATATACGGGGAAAAAGGAAATTCCACTGCAAAGTTCTCATGGATATTTTGGAGTCAGCAGTGAGAAAACTGTTCCACAATTTTGCAGCTGCATGGAAATTCATCTAATTTGTTATACGCTATGTCTCAACCAGGCAGAATAAAACACAGCTAGGATTGAAAAACCAGCTGGAAGAGACAGGCTAAGTTTCACTGCTTTCAATTTTTCTGCTTTTTTCACACGTAACTTAACCTTTGAGGCCAGTTATTCAGTTTGACATTTCTATCAATCACATTTCAAAATTGGACATTTTTACTTCAGAATATCCAATTGCAACAAACAAACCAGCACTTGACTTGGCACGGTCTATGTGTCATTAACACTGCAATAACTCACAATGGACCTCTTGCCTAAATGAACCTGACTTTGATCTATCACGTCACTTGTTTCAATATCTACTGTAATTGAGCTGGCAAGGCAAAACAATGGCCTAAACATTTGCACGCAAACTCACACCGAACAATTACCTGGAAAACAGTCACAAACAATATAAATCACATGAAATTTTAGCCGGTAATCAATTTTGCTCCAGAACAGATTTTCTGTGTTGAACAATGTTTTACAATCAGTAAGCCCAGGAAATCCCTCCCCCTCGGTTATAAATGGATTTTCTCTCAGCGGATGACAATCTGGAGAAAATTGAAACCCAGTTGTATTACCTGTCTGAGTGCTGCATCAACTGATCTGTTATCAGCTCGACTAACCAGATGTCGTTTTATATCTTCCACAGCTCCTTGCACTGCCTGTAAATAGCCTGCTAATTTGTCTTTTTCTCTGTTGAGTCAAAGTGTACAGAGAAGATCCTGTGTTTTTCCAGACTTCATTTGTGGTTAGTCTTTGTTTAGTAGTCACTGTAGAAATGCCTCGTTTAACCTCTTCAGTCGTGAGATTTTTATTTTAATTGGATTTCAGATTTTTTTTGGGTCTTTCATTTCCTATGATATCCTCCATTTTCAAAAATCTGTACTGCAGTCATACTTTGGGGGGTACGTTTTGGAATGTTTTCCAAATTTTTTTTCCCGGGTTAAGTATAATGTCTCCCTTTTCCATTTGGACCACAATCATTAGACTGGATTTCACTTAAAATTCTAAGCCTAAGAGCAATCTACAGCGTTAACTTTATAACACCGCAATGATTCCAGAAAAAAATTTCAGTGACTGACTAGTTTTCTTACTCTTCTGAAAGACTTCAATTTGAGGTGAGCTTACTTGTTGGAGGAGCGTAGCACTTCTTGCACGTCTTGAACACTACCTTGAAGTGACTTCTTCTCTTCTTCCAGGAGAGATAATTTCTTGCTGAGTTGATGGATGGATTGCTCCTTACGTCGTAGCTCCATCTTGGCCTCAGACAAACCCTGTCAGAAAAGAAAGAGGTCTCTGGTCAAAAATGCTAAGGCGTGAGGTCAAAATACCTATGGTTTAGAAACAGTTCAACTGTTGATGTTAATCCCCTTCAGTCTGCTTGTCTTTTGGGTTAGGACAGTTCAATGGTTTGAAAAGAATCTGTCTGCCCTGGACTGTCTAGCTGCAAGGGCAACCCTGACAACAATGGAGTTTGTGGCTTACACAGCCATGGTTGTGAACAAAAGATCCTATTCAGGGAGAACTTCACTGGCCCCAGTCAGCCATCCTAATCCCGTAAGGATTAGTGGTTAACACCTTGTGATAGGAAGATGCAAAATCAACTGCATTCTAGGTTACAGACATTGCTCTAGCATTAGAAACATTTTGAGTGGGTAATTCATGACAAAAAGACATCACCACAAGATCAACGTTCATCTTTAAGCGTTTCTTAGAGTGGAGATAAAGAAGTTTATATGGAAGTGACGGGAAATGCCAAACAGGGTTGCCTCATTTTACGGCCTAATATATCATCTCTGAAAGGAAATATCCACATACACACAATATGAATTTATTTGGAACTTCAGTCAGGTGCACCAATATTCTTTGAAGGTAATAAAAAAGTCAAACTCCGCATCAAATAGTGCTGCAAGAAGATGTCAAGGTTCGGTTCAGACAATGTTCAGAAATGTTTTGCCGAGGTTGGGATCAGTTGGGGTTTGGACCGTGTACACACATGTAAACGTACAATGCACACTGAGACATCGAAAAGCTCGCTACGAACGTGCCGCATAGGCCTATATACATGTAGTATTTCTGTGCAGTATAAAATTATGTTAAACTAAATGAATCTCCTATCTCTCCCCATCCACGAGCAACTTTGATTTGAATATATTTTTTCTAAATTGTTTCCCCAGAGTTCATTTATGAGTACATTCCATATACAGTTACCGACAGAGGTGTGACAGTTTCTGACCGTGTTTTGCCGACCAGAAGCGGTTGTGTTCGGACCACATTTGACTCACAATCATAAGACATGTGCAAATAGAAAAAACAGCATGCTTAGTTGAGACTTTCCTCCCTCAGTACAGAATACAAGATCAAATTAGATATCAAGCAAATTGTGTTTTGGTTATTTTTGCGAAACAGATTCAACAACAAAAATATGGCTTTTGTTGCATATCCGAGGAGGAACCTTTCCAAGGACAGCGCCCACGTGACCAAAGGGGCAATTTTTCATCAGCCTCTTTTGTAGGATAGCAGCATTTCGTTATTTGAGATTTGGCAAAATTCCATTACAACACATTCCCACTACCATCAAACCCTTCATGATCAAATGAAAGGCAAGTTAGACCACCGTGCGAACAAAAATCTTCTCGCGCGATGCGCTCAAGTGCCGCATGCACTGAACCGCTTGGTAAAATTTCCATCCGGGGATGGCTTTGATCGAGCGTGAGTCCGACTGTGATCAGCATCCAATCGAAATTCGTTTTGCACGGCCATTTATAAGATCATCGGCCTAATATGGAACATCATTAGCCTAATATGGAACGTAAGGGCGTGACTATCAGAGATTGGCAAATATAATAATAAATCTGAATATACATGAGCACGATTGAATGTAGTGAGAATTTAGAAATGTTATGCAGCGACAATGCTGTACGTTGCATATTCTTGGTTGATTTTTGAGTGATTCTCACCACATGCTTTTTACAACCATCTCATGATGCGGGCCATTGTAAGTTTCAGTATGTTCACGCACGTGTGGAGCAGTTTGGTTCGGTTCGAAAGTGCCTTGTTCGATGATTTTTGGTTCCGTTCGGCGGTTCACCTGCAGCACTAGATTAAATTGTGTTTGTTTTAATTTACTGTGCATTAAAGTTTAAAAGGTAAAGTCAAACACCAGAAATTAGAATAAAACCCAACATCTTTGTTTTCCAACATAAATTTGTGCAGCCACAAAGTATTCAAAGAGTACAAAAGAACCATACCAAACACAACGCATGTACAGTTGTACTATTGACTTCAAGAAAAAGCATGTTTCCTTAAATCATGCAGGTGCGCATGGAAAGCGCGTAGTTCG